CAGACTTGAACTCTGACTCAATTGACCTTCAGCTGTATCGTATGCTAAAATCGCTATAGTCATGAGTACGTCTTTTTCTGCAGGTCTCAAGAGAGGAGACAACAATTTCACTTTATCGTGAATCTCCATTTACCATTTTAGAAGGATAAATATCCTTAAATGATGTAGATCAGCGCTTAAAAACAAGACACTCTTCCGCCATAAACGTCAGAATTAGTGGAGAAAACATCAAATAAATAGGAGATGAAGGAAATAATAATGGAATAAAGGGCTTTCCTAAAAGTTGTTCTCATCCGGGGTGGAGTGCAGTTTCGGTCTCGCCTAGGCCTTGTCAACATCACCAGTGCTAGTCGAACCGTGATAGTGCAGCATGCGAGCTTGACATGCTAACCACTCTCACGGTTCGACTCACTCTGAGGGTGTTGATAAGACCTAGACGAGATCGAAACTGCAGTCGACCGTGGATGAGAACAACTTTGGGGAAAGCAAGGCTGTGAAATTCAATAGAAACGTCAGCTCTACTCATATCATTGTGGGAAAATTCTATCCTTAAACGAAATATATTTTAGTAACTTTGTTTATATACGAAAAAGGTAGACGTGTTTGATCATATACGTGGTCCATGAGGCAAAGGCTTGACCAGAAGAATCACTCTGGGTCTTTAGCTCAAGTTAGTCTTCCATTCACCTTAGAGACGAGAGTATGCGTGCCATCAAAGGCTTGCGACAGTGTGGGAAATAACACTTCGAGTGGTATAGATAGGGTGACAGGGATTGAGTGAAATATCTGAACCAGGAAAGTAGGAGGCGGATCCTACTGGGCAAAAGGGAGAGGATTGCGGATTGAGGGGGTGAGAGAGCCAGCGTGGGGTTTGGAGAGTTCTAATGAAATTCGATAAAGAATTGTGATAGTGAAGGGGTGATACGAGGATATAGGATAGGTGAATAGCCCAAAACAGAAGTGATACCACAACTGTTTAGCAGACAATTGTTCAAAGGATCGGCTTTACTTGTCTCATTGACGAGTTGTTGTGTGGTGCTAAGAGTGGCAAGCTCACAGACATTGCCGATTTCGATGCCGGCGAAAAGTCCTGGAATGTACCACGTCCACGGTCCGACTCTGGACATGATCATGCATACAATGGCTCCGGACAAAGTGCGTTCCTCCAAGTCGTCCTATCAATATGACCAATTTGCGAAAACAAGATCAAACAACTTCTATACAAAATGCCACACCATCTTGGTCTTCATACATTCGAAGAAACGTTAAGTAGTCATACAAGGAAATAAGCACATGCAAAATCTTATTCAGTAGCAGCTAAATATCTACTTCATGTGCAGAAATGATGTCAGTTCTTTCAGAAGGGAGCCAGATCTTGGTCATCCAATTACCTCAAGCTTCCTCCATCGGTGTACGTTCATTGGGTTCTCGAGCTCCTCCTCGAGGGCTTTACATCGCGTTCTTTCTCGCATCAATTCGCGTTCGATGTGGAAAACCTCCCGCTTCAAATCCTCCAGCTTAACTACACTGGCCTGCAAAAGTGCCTTCTCCCGACGTTGTCGGCGTATCTCTGTCTTAAGAAGACGTACATCATCCAGCCTTTTGTTGTATTCCGCCTCACCCTTGTTCAGGATAGACTGTTGAATGCGTATCTTTTCGTATAGCAGCGCCAATTCGTCGTTTCGCCTTACCAACTGAGTGCCAAGGATATCGCGCTCGCTAACTACTTGCTCTAACTCCTTTTTCTGTTTGGTTCGCTCCATTTCAGCCTCCGAAATGATGCGCAAAAGCTTACGTTCTTCTGCCTCCTGCGCCTCGATGTACGCCCTATTCTCTGCCGCTTGAATGCGCATTCGCTGAAGTTCCGCTGTGAGTTGGTCCTTCTCCTTTTCGATACGTTGTCGATCCAGATTTTCGCGAACAAGAACAGCTTCTTTACTGGATATTTCGTCCTTCAGCTGATCTATATGATGAGTCATAAACTTGAGCTTTCGTTTCATTTCAGTTATTTCATCCTGTGCCTCAATCAAGTTTTTACTATAGAGATTTCGATCACTCCTCACGGCTTCGTAGAGATTCTGCTGCTGCCTTAGCTTGGTTTCGGCTTCCGCAATCTTCTTTTTGAAGTCAAATAATTGCATTTCCCGCATCTTAACCTCTTCCATGTGCTGCAGGACCTTCTGTGTCAGTTCTGAGGCTTCAGAGATATAACGGTCTCTTTCTTTTTCTAGCTGATATATTATTTTTCTCTGCTTTTGAGCCTCTTCCTTGTAGTTCACAATCTCTTGGTCTAAATTTCGTCGAGATTGTTCATGCAATCTCACCAGATTTGTTTGCTTTTGAGTTTGAGCACCAGCTTTTAAGAGACTTTTGTTGAGAGTATCCCTTTCCTTGGAGAGATCTTCACACATCTTCCTGTCCGTATCTTGAGACTTCTTTAAAAGCTCCATTTCATGTTCCAAGGCCGCTATTTCTTGTTTCATTCTTTCTTTGGCACTCTCTAATTCTGCTTTTTGGTCTTCCACCTGGCGGAGTCGTCTTTGAGCCGCCTCCTTTTGTTTAGTTAATCTAGAATTCTCATTTCTCAACGAATTGGCCTCCTCTTCTTTTTGCTAGTAGTATCAAAAAAATATTTTTTTAAATCGACAATTTAATTGAGGAAAACAATTTGTAATATATTAAGGGCAGCAAATTATTTAAGTTAGTTTATCTTTTGATTTGAAAATAATTAGTACATTTAATAAAGTGTTATAGTTTTTCTTAAACAAACTCAATGGATAAAGAATATGTAAAACTAAAAGATATGAAGAAAAACTGGATTTTGAAGAATTCTTTAGCTATATAATGTGACATGACTCTCCATTTTGGAGTGAGATTTTGTAAGAAGGAATTCATAATGTGGTATCAAACCGAAGGAGAATTGCCGCGTAGGGAAGACTGTTGAATTGTCCGAAGAAGTCGTCGGCTCACAGTCCTGCGACCCCGATGAATGTGTGCTAAGCAAGATTTCGATCTAGTGCAAAAATATATTATTTTTCGTGTTTTAGTAGAGTTTCGAGACTAAACCACGAAAAAAGGTGGCCGGCTGCAACCCTAGTCGTGTTTTTATACACCTAACTTCGCGATCTTAATAAGGCAACCCTCATAAGCTAACCTGATTCGGTTGGCTGCTTTAACGTTACTTTACATGCTTGAAAACGGGTGAAGTTAATTCCCGAACCGGAAGTGCGTTGACTGGCATCTGCTTCCTTACACAAATAAAGTAGTGTACGATCCCCTAATATTGAATCATGCTTGGGCTTGTGCTAATGTCCGTAACGCTCATGTTATGGGAAGTGTGTTAGTCCTAGCTAGACTGGAGGCGAATCCAGCCTCCTTCACTTGCCCAGTGGCCTATCCAGCAGCCACAAATAGTTCCTACTCCGTTTTTTACACTCGTTCGTACTATTCGGGACGTTAACTGTTTTATTATTTTATATAGATTCCTTAATCTTACGCTTCGTCATAAAAACCCCGTGAGCTGCAAAACCGTTTTGTTTTATACCAGTTTATTGGCCATGTGCTGAGCGAGCTCAAATTGTTGTACCCATAGAACTTTAAAAGCGGTTTTATGCTCGCATAGTCTCTTGTGAATGTGACGGAGGGTCTCCCCCACATAGACCTTACCACATGAGCACAAAACCTTGTAACAACCTGATCTATAGAGAGGGTGTGAATATTCTCTAAACAAAGGAACTACTGAATAAACCCTTAATTTATCTTTATACATTGTTTATATTTTCCATTTTTTCAATAGTTCACCCAAATTTGTTTTAACTGAGCACATGTAAATCGTAATGTTTTATGCATCACACTACCTATATTATCTACAATAATCCTTAGTGAAGTAATTTACTTACGGATTTTGGGCAGACCATTTGTATTTGTGGGTCTAGCATCTCGCTGGAGAAGTGCATTCATTTTCCACTTTTCCAGTTCTCCACTGTCTACACATTGTTGCAGAAGGTCTTAAGCCTGACTTTAGAGCTTTCTGTCGGGTCCCTAATTATAGTCAGCTATGTTGTATCATCATCTAATGTCTCTGACATTTTATTTATACAATCAGCCTTATCCTTAACTACTACTGCTCCTCCTTCGTCTGCCAATAATACTAATTGTCTATTCGCCTTAATCGTCCTTATAATTGTATTAACTGTCCTATTTTTATATGTTGTTTCATCATGACCATCAATTCAATGTCACTCCTAATATCATTTGGGAAAATATCCGTTAAATCTATCAATTCTACTAAAATGTCCTCTTTAAAGTTCTTCCTATTTGGAAAGGCAAAATTAAAACCCAACAACTCACTCGAAATGGAAGTAAGCTCAACAATTATGAAACAAGAGATTCCTCGAAACCCAAATTTTATTCGCAAAATAAAAACCCTTTGCTAGGCCCTCCTCAATAGAAATGTCCAATGAAGTTTTTGACAGATTTACCACTTTTGGCATTGGATTTCCTTTCCCTTTAACTCATTAGATTTAGGTCGTTTCCTTGAGATAATTCTCATACCCAAATTTCTTAATTTCGTATCATGTGTCTTTGTAACCTGTCATCTATGCTTTGGAGCTCATGAAAGGAACTAAGAGCCTCGAACAAGATTTGCCTAAATCTAGTCTTAGTCCTAATTAATGAATGTAGCTTTGCAATGGTTTTCTTAAGTCTAATATAAACCAAATAATGTCATATGTCAGTCTTAGTCTTACAAGGTAGATTATGTCTAGAAGTAACAACTTCCCCTCCAAAATGGAGAGTTATGTCACAATATATCACTAAGGAATTCTTTGAAACCCAGTTTTTCTGCGAAAAATAAACTAGTTTCGACGCTACTGTTTAGGTGAGCCAAATTGCTGCTAGAAGCAATGAAAAAACGTTTTATACCCGAGGCTCTGCTAGCTTGTATTGAAGTGGTGAATTTTGGTTCTGAAACGATATTGATCTATTTTTTATCCTACAGCATGCAAATTATATTCCGAGTTTTACGAGACTGTATACAGATGCCTTTGTATTGACTCAAGGAGGGACTACAGCTCCCCTTAATATACATCTTATATTGCATTTATGAAGTAATGCCACTGTAACAATCTGTCGCAGACAACTTCGGTGGTTGCAAGTCGTGTTTTGAATTATGGCATATGAATAATTTAATACTGAAAGTTTTCTTAAGAAAGGAAAGAAACAGAGAGCGAAATATCTTCAATCTTTCAACATAACCATAAGGTATAATGCCCTCAAATCAAAATGGAAGTTAATTCACAAAGTTAAATGTGCAAATTTGGAGACTTGTAAACTAACAAATTTTACAGTTCGTACATCAGGGACTAAACAATAAAGTGTTCAAAATAGTATGACTTGGTTACGATAGCTAAAGTTATTGCTTATTCATAAATAAGCTGTTCCAAAGTGTGCATTTATCAATTAGATATTACTTTGGTCATTTTATATTATGCACTACTATATATATTCTTATGCTTTGATGTAAGGGCAGAGACTAAATATCATCAGGAGCCGAAGGATAGCTAGTACTATAATAATAGATGGGTCCTAACTTGAGCCACGTGGAGTATACTCTAAACTCTGTTAATAGCAGGATTCATTGAAATATTCCAGCTTAAATTTATTCCCATTTCACACCAAAAAATCTCGCTCTTCAATGAGATTCCTATAAACACCAATGCAAAATTTACAATGCTTATGCGAAAATGTTGTTGATATTTCATACGTATTGATACTAACAATCGATACTAATGCCCAGGTAAAACACATTAAACCGAAGGTATAAAGACCAAGATGGTGTGGCCTTTTGTGTGGTCGCAGTCTCCTTTCGTTAAATAGAAGT